ACTGACTCACTCACACATCATACACTGACTCACTCACACATCATACACTGACTCACTCACACATCATACACTGACTCACTCACACATCATACACTGACTCACTCACTCATCATACACTGACTCACTCACACATCATACACTGACTCACTCACACATCATACACTGACTCACTCACACACCATGCACTGACTCACTCACACACCATACACTGACTCACTCACACACCATACACTGACTCACTCACACCATGCACTGACTCACTCACACATCATACGCTGACTCACTCACACATCATGCGCTGACTCACTCACACATCATACACTGACTCACTCACACATCATACACTGACTCACTCACACATCATACACTGACTCACTCACACATCATACACTGACTCACTCACACATCATACACTGACTCACTCACACATCATACGCTGACTCACTCACACATCATACACTGACTCACTCACACACCATACACTGACTCACTCACACCATGCACTGACTCACTCACACATCATACGCTGACTCACTCACACATCATACACTGACTCACTCACACACCATACACTGACTCACTCACACACCATGCACTGACTCACTCACACACCATACACTGACTCACTCACACCATGCACTGACTCATTCACACATCATACGCTGACTCACTCACACATCATGCGCTGACTCACTCACACATCATACACTGACTCACTCACACATCATACACTGACTCACTCACACATCATACACTGACTCACTCACACATCATACACTGACTCACTCACACATCATACACTGACTCACTCACACATCATACACTGACTCACTCACACATCATACACTGACTCACTCACACCATGCACTGACGCACTCACACATTATGCACTGACTCACTCACACATCATACACTGACTCACTCACACATCATACACTGACTCACTCACACATCATACACTGACTCACTCACACATCATACACTGACTCACTCACACATCATACACTCACTCACACATCATACACTGACTCACTCACACATCATACACTGATTCACTCACACATCACACACTGATTCACTCACACATCATACGCTGACTCACTCACACATCATACACTGACTCACTCACACATCATACACTGACTCACTCACACATCACACACTGGGAGTGTCGTGCTGACAGCTATGGCTGCAGTGTTTTGTCGTACGTGTTATGTATATCGTTTATTGTTACATTTAAATTCACAGTTCCTATGATTACTGTTGTTACATTGTTTTCTTAGCTTTATTTTGGTGATTCGAAAACACATGGTTAATCCAAATTGTCTTATGGTTGTTGTTGTTGTTGGCTTGCACCACATTGATTTTAACACAAAGCGTTTTAACAAGTTTTTTTTGCGTGGAATATTTGCTGGCTTATTCCAGGATGTTTCTGTTTACGCGTTGTCGCTTTAGGATGTTTCTGTGTGTTCAAATTGTGTTTGTTGCGGTGGCACCCGACTTAAGAGCCGCATGGCTCACAGGGCTGTACCTAATACATGAAACTTTAAAACTTGAACTCCGTCTAATCGCCTCGTACAACAATGTACCTAGGCCCGCCGGATCGATCCACGCGAATGGAATCGATACCGCGCGACTCCTCGCCACATTTACCAATGGGCGAGAGCGATTCTCGGAGTCGCGAACAAAACGATTCCTCTTGACGTTCCCTAGCGAACCATTGAGAGAAAGCGATTCTCGGATTCGCTAACAAAACGATTCCTCTTGACGTTCCCTAGCGAACCATTGAGAGAAATCGATTCTCGGATTCGCTAACAAAACGATTCCTCTTGACGCTCAGTAGCGAACCAATGGACGAGAGCGATTCTCAGCGTCGCGGACAAACGATTCTTCTTGACGTTCAGTAGCGAACCAATAGAAGTGAATCGATTTTATTTGTAATCATTGCTTAAAAAACCGATTCCTTAAGTTGGTTGTCAAATGGCTTGAATCGATTTCGTAATCGAATTCGTGAAGGGTTAACACTAATAAAAATAATTTTATGATGTTTAATATTTTATTATGTTTAATAATTTATTTCAAATTTTCTTGCTGTGGTTTTCACACATGATGATGATTGCTTGTGTTGCAGTCGAAACGTCGTGATAATTTTATTGTTTTATATTTTTATTATGTTATTGTTTCCCTTCTACGTGGTGACTTTACCGAAAGAACCAAGAATACCATTCCCTATATTGTTATTTATATTTTAAAACCATTTCATGACAACGGTTATCAGTGTTCAATTGATTCTCCGAAGGTATCATTCGATCGATATTTTAGATCGATTATATTGGAACCGTTTCCTTAGGTGAATCGATCCCCTTAGCGTGTAAACTAGAATCGAACGCGAGAATCCGTTACCCAACCACGTGAATTCAAGCGTCCTACAAATATGTTAATGAGCTTCGATGACCACGCCCAAAGCCCCGCCTAGCCTAACCACGCCCCCTAGCCAGTGACCACGCCCCCTCATCAGTGGCCACGCCCGCTCGTCGGTGACCACGCCCATACTCGGCCTTTTTTCATTGAGACAAAGATCCCCCGTGTTGCCCTTGGCAGACAGTGGGGCAAGAGCGCTTGGCGAGTGGCAACCACAACACCCTGCTTAGTAAACTAAGTTGCCTCGGTTTCTACAAACACGCAGGAGAGAAAAACAAATCACCTCTTTTCTCGCACCCAAACTGTACTCACAGATGGTTGGAGGTCAAACAGTGTTAAGATAACAAAATGGCTTCCACAGGGTTCCATCCTCGGCCCCCTCTTGTTCTCTCTTTTCACGTCAATGACTTGGGCACTGACCTGGATCATTCCAGGGTAAATCTTTTTGCAGATGACACGATACTGATTACTGCTGGCCGCTCTCCGGATGACGTGATTGCTAAGCTCCAGGGTGATTTGAACAAACTACAACATCAGCTGGTTGCTCTTAAACTAGTCCTGAATACCTCCAAAACCAAGGTGCTATGCTTCTCACCAGGACTAAAGCAGGAAGTTATTTTTCCTCAATTGCATTCCGTTAAATAATTATCAAATAGTGCAAGTCAAGATCTATAAGTGTCTTGGGGTCATCCTGCATTCAAAACTGAATTTTGAAGATGACATTGATTATATTGCTAAAAAGACAAAAATTAAAATTGGTTTTCTGTATCGACACAAGCACTGCTACCCCCTACTGTTCCGTTTGGAATTGATAAAAGCTACCATACCGCCTCTACTTGACTACTGTGATATCGTGTATAAATCAGCCCCAAGTACTGTACTGAAGAAGCTTGATTCCATCTATCACTCGGCCTTAAGATTTACATTGAACTGCCCATATAGGACTCACCACTGTGATCTCTACATTGGTTCAAACTTAACATCTCTTTATGTTCGACGGCTTGTGCACCAGATCTTATTTATTCACGATGTACTTACAAAAAAATCCGCAGACTACCTGCTGGATCTCCTCTCTGTTTCAAAGAACAAATTTGACCTCAGGCCTTCGCTCATTTACCAGCTTCACATTCCCTATTGCCGTACAAAAACTGGAGGAAGGGCCTTTGCTATTGATGCCCCCAGGGTCTGGAATGCAATTGCCAATAAACTGCAACTTGAATCACTACCAATGAGATCTTCTCTCAAAACTGCTCTAGAGGAGTTGTAAACCCCAAGCTGCCACTGCTATTCATTGGCGTAAAATAAAATAAAATGTTTCGCCCCGGATGACGCTGCAAAGTATTATCTGTATTCAGATTTAGCGTGCTAATCTTAAAGGTGCATTGAAAAATTTGATACTCCGACTGATGCTTCTGTTGTTGTGGAGTAACTCATGCAGCCAGCTATGGCTCTAGGGTTTGGTGTTACATGTTATTTATGTAGTTTATTGTAAAAATTCGGTCACAGTCCCTATGACCACTGTTACGTTGCAATTATGGCTTTATTTTTTGGTGATTTCGAAAACGTTTTTTTTGGTTTGGACGTGTTTGTTTTGTTGTAGTACGGAGTTAGACTGATGGCCTTAATCTAAGTTTTCTTGTTGTTGTTGTTGTTTGACTTGCATCCCACTGGGATTTTTTGCACACAGCGTTGGTGTACGGTGCTTTTTTCAGGAATATTTTGATGTTTTTTTCCTGGATTTGTCTGTTTGCACAGTCACTTTAAGATGTTTTTCTTGTTCATGTTTTAGTTTGTTGCAGTTGCACCCGATTCAAGAGCCGATTGGCTCACAGGGCTATACCAAATAAATGAACTATGAACTAACTATGAACTATGATTGGCTCACAGGGCATTACAAAATAAATGAAACTGAAATGAAATGAACCTGAACCACCTCTTCGAAGGCCGGAGGGGGTGGTGGCCAGCAACCACGCCCGGCCGCCTTTGTCTCCCTGGAGTTGAGTCATCGCGCTGTGTACTCATTCGAGGCTGAGTCGATCTAGGGGATGCCAGGGGTTGCGGAGGTGCTGGCGGGGGGGGGGGGTTGGCGGAGGCGCGCTAACCGCTGCACCACCGCTCCCTTCCATTGTCCCTCACGCCCACCCGTCTAGGACCACGCCCACTCGGTTGTTACCCCGCCCACTGCGCTGTGACCACGCCCACCAACGTGTCGGCCCCTCCCCCTGCACCCTTCCCCCGCACCCCCAGGTGGCTCAGTGCGCATGCGCGACCCCGCCTATTGGAATGCGTGCGAGCCTGGTTCCCTGTGTGAGTGAGACAGATAAGACGTGCACAGACACACACTTAGACACACACTTAGACACACAGACACACACTTAGACACACAGACACACACTTAGACACACACACACTTAGACATAGTAGACACACACAGACACACACAGACAGACACACACACAGACAGAGACAGACACAGACAGACACACACAGACACACACACAGACACACAGACACACACACAGACACACAGACACACACACAGACACACACACAGACAGACACACAGACAGACACACACACAGACAGACACACAGACACACACACAGAGACACACACAGACATACAGACACACAGAGACACACACACAGACACAGACAGACACAGACAGACAAAGTAGTCGACACGCGTAGCGAGAGACAGAACGAGGAACCGAGAGAGGGACGCGGCGCTGCTCTGCGAGAGACGGGGGGACTGCTGCAGTGGAGTGGTGAGTGGAGAGTCTGTAGGAGTGGAGAGTCCGTAGGAGTGGAGAGTCTGTAGGAGTGGAGAGTCTGTAGGAGTGGAGAGTCTGTAGGAGTGGAGAGTCTGTAGGAGTCTGTAGGAGTGGAGAGTCTATAGGAGTGGAGAGTCTGTAGGAGTGAAGAGTCTGTAGGAGTGGAGAGTCTTTAGGAGTGGAGAGTCTGTAGGAGTGGAGAGTCTGTAGGAGTGGAGAGTCTAGGAGTGGAGAGTCTGTAGGAGTGGAGAGTCTGTAGGAGTGGAGAGTCTATAGGAGTGGAGAGTCTGTAGGATTGGAGAGTCTGTAGGAGTCTGTAGGAGTGGAGAGTCTATAGGAGTGGAGAGTCTGTAGGAGTGGAGAGTCTGTAGGAGTCTGTAGGAGTGGAGAGTCTATAGGAGTGGAGAGTCTGTAGGAGTGGAGAGTCCGTAGGAGTGGAGAGTCTGTAGGAGTGGAGAGTCTGTAGGAGTGGAGAGTCTATAGGAGTGGAGAGTCTGTAGGAGTGGAGAGTCTGTAGGAGTGGAGAGTCCGTAGGAGTGGAGAGTCTGTAGGAGTGGAGAGTCTATAGGAGTGGAGAGTCTGTAGGAGTGGAGAGTCTGTAGGAGTGGAGAGTCTGTAGGAGTCTGTAGGAGTGGAGAGTCTGTAGGAGTGGAGAGTCTGTAGGAGTGGAGAGTCTGTAGGAGTCTGTAGGAGTGGAGAGTCTGTAGGAGTGGAGAGTCTGTAGGAGTGGAGAGTCTGTAGGAGTCTGTAGGAGTGGAGAGTGTGTAGGAGTGGAGAGTCTGTAGGAGTGGAGAGTCCGTAGGAGTGGAGAGTCTGTAGGAGTGGAGAGTCTGTAGGAGTGGAGAGTCTGTAGGGGTGGAGAGTCTGTAGGAGTGGAGAGTCTGTAGGAGTGGAGAGTCTGTAGGAGTCTGTAGGAGTGGAGAGTCTGTAGGAGTGGAGAGTCTGTAGGAGTGGAGAGTCTGTAAGAGTGGAGAGTCTGTAGGAGTGGAGAGTCTGTAGGAGTGGAGAGTTTATAGGAGTGGAGAGTCTGTAGGATTGGAGAGTCTGTAGGAGTCTGTAGGAGTGGAGAGTCTATAGGAGTGGAGAGTCTGTAGGAGTGGAGAGTCTGTAGGAGTCTGTAGGAGTGGAGAGTCTATAGGAGTGGAGAGTCTGTAGGAGTGGAGAGTCTGTAGGAGTGGAGAGTCTGTAGGAGTCTGTAGGAGTGGAGAGTCTATAGGAGTGGAGAGTCTGTAGGAGTGGAGAGTCTGTAGGAGTGGAGAGTCTATAGGAGTCTGTAGGAGTGGAGAGTCTATAGGAGTGGAGAGTCTGTAGGAGTGGAGAGTCTGTAGGAGTGGAGAGTCTGTAGGAGTGGAGAGTCTGTAGGGGTCTGTAGGAGTGGAGAGTCTATAGGAGTGGAGAGTCTGTAGGAGTGGAGAGTCTGTAGGAGTCTGTAGGAGTGGAGAGTCTATTAGAGTGGAGAGTCTGTAGGAGTGGAGAGTCTGTAGGAGTGGAGAGTCTATAGGAGTCTGTAGGAGTGGAGAGTCTATAGGAGTGGAGAGTCTGTAGGAGTGGAGAGTCTGTAGGAGTGGAGAGTCTGTAGGAGTGGAGAGTCTGCAGGAGTGGAGAGTCTATAGGAGTGGAGAGTCTATAGGAGTGTAGAGTCTATAGGAGTGTAGAGTCTGTAGGAGTGGAGAGTCTGTAGGAGTGAAGAGTCTATAGGAGTGGAGAGTCTGTAGGAGTGGAGAGTCTGTAGGAGTGGAGAGTCTGTAGGAGTGGAGAGTCTGTAGGAGTCTATAGGAGTGAAGAGTCTATAGGAGTGGAGAGTCTGTATGAGTGGAGAGTCTGTAGGAGTGGAGAGTCTGTAGGAGTGGAGAGTCTGTAGGAGTGGAGAGTCTATAGGAGTCTATAGGAGTGGAGAGTCTGTAGGAGTGGAGAGTCTATAGGAGTGGAGAGTCTATAGGAGTCTGTAGGAGTGGAGAGTCTGTAGGAGTGGAGAGTCTGTAGGAGTGGAGAGTCTATAGGAGTGGAGAGTCTGTAGGAGTGGAGAGTCTGCAGGAGTGGAGAGTCTATAGGAGTGGAGAGTCTATAGGAGTGGAGAGTCTATAGGAGTGGAGAGTCTATAGGAGTGTAGAGCCTGTAGGAGTGGAGAGTCTGTAGGAGTGAAGAGTCTATAGGAGTGGAGAGTCTATAGGAGTGGAGAGTCTGTAGGAGTGGAGAGTCTGTAGGAGTGGAGAGTCTGTAGGAGTGGAGAGTCTGTAGGAGTCTGTAGGAGTGGAGAGTCTATAGGAGTGGAGAGTCTGTAGGAGTGGAGAGTCTGTAGGAGTCTGTAGGAGTGGAGAGTCTATAGGCGTGGAGAGTCTGTAGGAGTGGAGAGTCTGTAGGAGTGGAGAGTCTGTAGGAGTCTGTAGGAGTGGAGAGTCTGTAGGAGTGGAGAGTCTGTAGGAGTGGAGAGTCTGTAGGAGTGGAGAGTCTGCAGGAGTGGAGAGTCTATAGGAGTGGAGAGTCTGTAGGAGTGGAGAGTCTGTAGGAGTGGAGAGTCTGTAGGAGTGGAGAGTCTGTAGGAGTCTGTAGGAGTGAAGAGTCTATAGGAGTGGAGTCTGTATGAGTGGAGAGTCTGTAGGAGTGGAGAGTCTGTAGGAGTGGAGAGTCTGTAGGAGTCTATAGGAGTGGAGAGTCTGTAGGAGTGGAGAGTCTGTAGGAGTGGAGAGTCTATAGGAGTGGAGAGTCTGCAGGAGTGGAGAGTCTGCAGGAGTGGAGAGTCTATAGGAGTGGAGAGTCTATAGGAGTGGAGAGTCTATAGGAGTGTAGAGTCTGTAGGAGTGGAGAGTCTGTAGGAGTGGAGAGTCTATAGGAGTGGAGAGTCTATAGGAGTGGAGAGTCTGTAGCAGTGGAGAGTCTGTAGGAGTGGAGAGTCTGTAAGAGTGGAGAGTCTGTAGGAGTGGAGAGTCTGTAGGAGTCTGTAGGAGTGAAGAGTCTATAGGAATGGAGAGTCTGTATGAGTGGAGAGTCTGTAGGAGTGGAGAGTCTGTAGGAGTGGAGAGTCTGTAGGAGTCTGTAGGAGTGGAGAGTCTGCAGGAGTGGAGAGTCTGCAGGAGTGGAGAGTCTGCAGGAGTGGAGAGTCTATAGGAGTGGAGAGTCTATAGGAGTGGAGAGTCTATAGGAGTGAAGAGTCTATAGGAGTGGCGAGTCTATAGGAGTGGAGTGTCTATAGGAGTGGAGAGTCTATAGGAGTGGAGAGTCTATAGGAGTGGAGAGTCTGTAGGAGTGGAGAGTCTGTAGGAGTCTGTAGGAGTGGAGAGTCTGTAGGAGTGGAGAGTCTGTAGGAGTGGAGAGTCTATAGGAGTGGAGAGTCTGTAGTAATCTGTAGGAGTGGAGAGTCTGTAGGAGTGGAGAGTCTCTGGGAGTGGAGAGGCTGTAGGAGTGGAGAGTCTGTAGGAGTGGAGAGTCTGTAGGAGTCTGTAGGAGTGGAGAGTCTATAGGAGTGGAGAGTCTATAGGAGTCTGTAGAGTGGAGAGTCTAGGAGTGGAGAGTCTGTGGGAGTGGAGAGTCTGTTGGAGTGGAGAGTCTGTAGGAGTGGAGAGTCTGTGGGAGTGGAGAGTCTGTGGGAGTGGAGAGTCTGTAGGAGTGGAGATTCTATAGGAGTGGAGAGTCTGTAGGAGTGGAGAGTCTGTAGGAGTGGAGAGTCTGTGGGAGTGTAGAGTCTGTGGGAGTGGAGAGTCTATGGAGTGGAGAGTCTGTAGGAGTGGAGAGACTGTAGGAGTGAAGAGTCTGTAGGAGTGGAGAGTCTGTATGAGTGGAGAGTCTGTAGGAGTGGAGAGTCTATAGGAGTGGAGAGTCTATAGGAGTGGAGAGTCTGTAGGAGTCTATAGGAGTGGAGAGTCTGTAGGTGTGGAGAGTCTGTAGGAGTGGAGAGTCTGTAGGAGTGGAGAGTTTGTATGAGTGGAGAGTCTGTAGGAGTGGAGAGTCTGTAGGAGTGGAGAGTCTATAGGAGTGGAGAGTCTATAGGAGTGGAGAGTCTATAGGAGTGGAGAGTCTGTAGGAGTCTATAGGAGTGGAGAGGCTGTAGGTGTGGAGAGTCTGTAGGAGTGGAGAGTCTGTAGGAGTCTGTAGGAGTGGAGAGTCTGTAGGAGTGGAGAGTCTGTGGGAGTGGAGAGTCTGTAGGAGTGGAGAGTCTGTAGGAGTGGAGAGTCTATAGGAGTGGAGAGTCTATAAGGGTGGAGAGTCTGTAGGTGTGGAGAGTCTGTAGGAGTGGAGAGTCTGTAGGAGTCTGTAGGAGTGGAGAGTCTGTAGGAGTGGAGAGTCTGTAGGAGTTAAGAGTCTGTAGGAGTCTGTAGGAGTGGAGAGTCTGTAGGAGTGGAGAGTCTGTATGAGTGGAGAGTCTGTGGGAGTGGAGAGTCTGTAGGAGTCTGTAGGATTGGAGAGTCTGTAGGAGTGGAGAGTCTGTAGGAGTCTGTAGGTGTGGAGAGTCTGTAGGAGTGGAGAGTCTGTAGGAGTGGAGAGTCTGTGGGAGTGGAGAGTCTGTAGGAGTGGAGAGTTTATAGGAGTGGAGAGTCTGTAGGAGTGGAGAGTCTGTAGGAGTCTGTAGGAGTGAAGAGTCTATAGGAGTGGAGAGTCTGTATGAGTGGAGAGTCTGTAGGAGTGGAGAGTCTGTAGGAGTGGAGAGTCTGTAGGAGTCTATAGGAGTGGAGAGTCTGTAGGAGTGGAGAGTCTGTAGGAGTGGAGAGTCTATAGGAGTGGAGAGTCTGCAGGAGTGGAGAGTCTGCAGGAGTGGAGAGTCTATAGGAGTGGAGAGTCTATAGGAGTGGAGAGTCTATAGGAGTGTAGAGTCTGTAGGAGTGGAGAGTCTGTAGGAGTGGAGAGTCTATAGGAGTGGAGAGTCTATAGGAGTGGAGAGTCTGTAGGAGTGGAGAGTCTGTAGGAGTGGAGAGTCTGTAAGAGTGGAGAGTCTGTAGGAGTGGAGAGTCTGTAGGAGTCTGTAGGAGTGAAGAGTCTATAGGAATGGAGAGTCTGTATGA